CAACAAATAATTCTATTAAATAACACTAATGTTGTAGAACTTAATATTAAAATATTTTCATTATTTCATTATCTTGTCTTTCCCTACACTCTGGAAATTTTCTTTTGACCTGTTTTCCAGGTCACGAATTCTCTCCACATCCGTATCAAGTTTACTGTTGTACATATTTGTTGTGTTCTTTATTTTGGGTTTTAGTAACTCTTAGTTTTAAAATTTCCACTGGTTTATTTTCAAATATGCTAGGTTATTTTTTTATATTTAGTGGCCCTTGCAGATTTTTTTAATATTGGGTTTTATTGCTTTAAACATACTAGCCATATGTTTTTATAATCTTTGATCCAGTATCAGAAACTTCTGAGGTCTATTCCTGCTGGTTTTCCTTATTCCTCAGTCATATATACCTCATACACTTTTTTTTGGTTATATCTTCTATATAACAAAAAAATATTTTTTTCAAAAATAATCAGAATAATCATTTATACATCAGAAATAATAATTTCTGATTACATCTTATATCTTATTCAGAGTTTGCTGAGCCTCCAGCTCCTGTTCAAGACTGAGTTCTCACCAGCACCCTGGTCACACTCAGGCAGAAAGTCCCTGAGTGAGGTCCTTCCCACTCAGGGACCTCCTGCTCTCTTCATTAATTTCACCCCAAAAGATCTAATAATAGGCACATTTCAAGGTAAAGTCCTCTTTGACGTTACTGCAGGGGTGAGGATCTAGGTAGACCTTTGCATTTTGAGCCTTAATTTTTATCCTGAAGTGAAAGCCTTCATTTCTATTAAATCGAAGTGTTACAGAACAACAGGTCGGCGGGGGGGGGGGCAGGGGGGGCGGGGGGGGCAATATTTGGCCCACCTAGGCATTCCAAAAACTGCTACAGAACAGGGGTCCCTCCCAAGGACAGAATGTTACCGAACAACAAGAGGTCCAAGGGAGGGGCAATACAATATTTGGCCCACCTAAGGATGCCAAAACCGCTATACAACAGGGGCCCCTCCCAAAAAAAAACCAAAATACTAAAATCTACTGGGCCCTTCTGTCCACCGCCAATTGGAAAGACATCTCTCAATGCCAGAGATTTGTGAAAAGGAAACAAAATGTTTATTTAATGCTATTCAGGCCTAATGCCACCACTAAAATATCAAAGTCCTTTAGGGTATACACCTACACCCACACAGCGCTCCCTTCTCCCACTGTCCCAACTCCGGGTACCGTAAATCAGGAAAAGAGCACACGTCTGTGTTTCAGGCCGCTGGCACTGTCAGCTGTGTCACTGTGCAGGATCTTGAGTTAATCCAAAGTACTGTGGTACCCTCTCATGGTCCACTGGCAAGAGTCCTTTGTACCCAGTTCCAGTCAAAGTCTCTCCTGCTTTCCAGGCCACGCAGCCAAAGGGGCACCCCAAAGCCGCGTGGGCCTCTTCTACCAAAGCTGCAGGGGTTCGCACTCCACCAAAAGCATGTGGCTTTCTTCTTCACCTGGCTGCAGGGATCTCCATTCTGGCAAAGCTGCGTGGTTTTCCCTTTCACCTGGGAAAGAGGGGGTCCACACCCTGCCAAAACCACGTGGCTCCCTCTTTCACCTCACCAAGAGGGGGTCCTCACTCGCTGAAACCACGTGGCTCTCCCCCACATGACTGCAGGGGTCTTCGCTCTGTCCCAAACTGTGTGACTCTCCCTTCAATGGCTGCCACGTCTCTGTTACTCCCTTCTCCCTGGCTCAAAACTTGGCCACAGCTATTTAGCATATCTATGAAACCAGTTAAAGGTTATAGATATGTTAAATAATCATTCCAGAGGTTAGCTGCAAAACTGTTGCTATGCAAAACAGCTCTCAATGGCCCTGGCTCTATTTGTCCCTTCCCCCTTGGGGGGGAGGGAGGGGGGAAGGACATCTTAATATTTCTAGGACACCCTGAACTCTGGACCTCAACCCAAACCCTTTTTTTGCCCCCCCCCTTGGCTGCATCCTGTATCAGAAGGGGAGGTGGGGAAGATCTAGTCTATATTTAAATTTTCTTAAAATCCGTCACCATATATGCTCTCTTACATACTTAGGCTTTGAAAGCCCTGCCCACACCCATTCTTTCTTGTGAAAATGTACCTTTAAATACATCTATAGTTACCTATGAAAGATTCTGACTGCCAAGGAAACCTACTCGAATTACCTTTGAGAGTTTGAAAAGCACTGGACTTGGAGTAAGATGATCTAGGTTCTTAGCTGCACTTGAACTAGATGTGCCATCTTTGACAAATCCTTTATTCTCTCTAACCATTAAGTTCCTGATCTACTATAACACCCATTACTCCAGAGTCACATGGTACTTCTAAGCATTTAAGGAACTAAGGAACATGGAAGTACTTACCAACGGTAAAGAGCTACACAGTGTGAATGATGCTGGGCATCCTGAAACGTCATTAAATTTTGTTCCTAGTTCTATTTTCCCTACCTCAGGTCAGAATAAATACATTGACCCATTCAATTTAAACAAGAATAAAGAATAAGACTAAAGTTTTCAGAATAATTGAAAGTTTCAATTTAAGGCAAAATGATTACTCTCTTCAATCACAATACGAGATCTGTGAAACACTTATTTGAACTAATAACCTGAGTTGCTTTTACACAATTCATCTCTAAAATTAATTTGTCAAGAAATAGCAAGTTTTTTTGCAACTCCAGTGAAACCTGAATGGAGGGATCGGTGCTGAGTTTGAATTGATGTCATATTGAAGTAGCGAACTGTTAATGGTATGAACGTGGTGTACAAATGAAAGACTTGAGGAATTAGAAATTAATCAACTGTATGTACTGAGAAGGAATTCTGTTCCTAAAATAGATATGAGACTGTTTTCCAAATATTATACAAAATTCTAATGCTTAAAAATATAACTCAATATATGTAATACACAAAAATACACGCACATGTCCATATTCTTTCTTATCGTTTCTTTGAAATCAGGACTGAGAGACAGCTTCTGTCATCAATTATTCTTGGAATTTGATGAAAATGGAAAGAATTTAGAATCAGTCACTCTGGGTTCCATCCCACTAAGGAGCTATTTCCTTCTCCCTAAAAGGGAGGCAAGACTGCCCCCCCTAAGGCGCCGACTCGCAGGCCTGTCCTAAGGACCCAGTGAAAGGCAGGTACAGTTGTGCACTGAACGGTGCAGTTAAAAGAAACCCAGCTCTTCCCAACTGGAAGGCACTTTGGTGAATTGAAAGGCAGCTCTCTTTACTCCAAGTTTTTTTTTTTTTTTCCATGCCATTTCAAATGTGAGTGAGAGTGTTACCGAACAACAAGAGGTCCGAGGGAGGGGCAATACAATATTTGGCCCACCTAGGGATGCCCAAAACTGCTATACAACAGGGGCCCCTCCCAAAACAAAATACTGAAATCTACTGGGCCCTTCTGTCCGCCGCCAATTGGAAAGACATCTCTTAATGCCAGAGATTTGTGAAAAGGAAACAAAATGTTTATTTCATGCTAGTCAGGCCTAACGCCACCACTAAAATATCAAAGTCCTTTAGGGTATACACCTACACCCACACAGCGCTCCCTTCTCCCACTGTCCCAACTCCGGGTACCGTATATCAGGAAAAGAGCACACGTCCCTTTTTCAGGCCGCTGGTGCCATCAGCTGTGTCACTGTGCAGGATCTCGAGTTAATCCAAAGTACCGTGGTACCCTCTCATAGTCCACTGGCAAGAGTCCTTTGTACCCAGTTCCAGTCAAAGTCTCTCTTGCTTTTCAGGCCCTGCAGCCAAAGGGGGCACCCCAAAGCCGCGTGGGCCTCTTCTACCAAAGCTGCAGGGGTTCTCACTCCACCAAAAGCATGTGGCTGTCTTCTTCACCTGGCTGCAGGGATCTCCATTCTGGCAAAGCTGCGTGGTTTTTTCCCTTTCACCTGGGAAAGAGGGGGTCCACACCCTGCCAAAACCACGTGGCTCCCTCTTTCACCTCACCAAGAGGGGGTCCTCACTTTGCTGAAACCGCGTGGCTCTCTCCCCATCTGGCCAAGCGGGGACCCTTCATGTCTTGGAGCCAGTCTTTTCCAAGCTCCCACACAGCAGCACCCTCCCTCAGGGGCGCAGCCCCTCATTACCTCCTGAGTCCCAGCCCTTCTCACTCAGGAGTGCAGCTCCTAGTTGCCATCTTGAGTCCCCCTAGTTCCATCCTCAGACCCTGCTAGTTCCATCTTGAGTCCCCATTCACTACCTTCTCCTTGGCTCCAAACTTGGCCACTGCTATTTAACATATCTATGAAACCAGTTAAAGGTTATAGATATGTTAAATAACCATTCCTCCACTATGCAAAATAGCTCTCAATGGTCCTGGCTCCATTCTTTCTTCCCGGGGGGGGGGGTGGGGGGTGGGGGGTGGGGGTGGGGGGTGGGGGTGGGGGTGGGGGTGGTGGGGGGGGGGGGGGAGTGAGGACATCTTATATGTCTCTCCAGTATTCCTATACACTTTGAATTATGGACACCATTCCAAATCTTTTTTGGGGGGCCCCCCTGGCTGCACCCTGTATCAAGAGGAAGGAGGGTCGGGCATGTTTTAGAAACAGCCACCCCCCCCCTCGCTGTTTACATTTTGTTTGTTATTTCATTCATTCATTCAACAAATTTCTGGGACCCTTGCTGGGTGAGGGACATCGTGTTAGGCGTGGGAGCCACAAATAGAAAAGGACTCAGACGGAGCCCTCCGTCCAGTCTAGCGACCAGACACTAGACGGGAACTGCGGGCCAGCGCTACCGAGGCTCCCGCCGTCGCCCCCCTCCGATCTACCCAGCCCCCACCCCACTGTGCACAGGCGTCCGCGTCCCCATGGCAACCAATGGGCTATGGCTGCCTGGCGGCAGGCACTGTGGGTGAGGCGGGAACCGCCGAGGCAGGGCGGCAGCAAGGCCCAGGCAGCGGGAGCGCCACAGCCAACGGCGGGGCCCCAGAGGCGGGCGCGCTGGGTGTGACCGCCTCGTTCCTGTTCTGCGGGCATCAGACCTCTCCAGGGAGTGCGGTGCTGTGCGGCGCAGGTAACCCGCTCTGCCTCCCGTACCCTAGCCCCATCCACCAGACTTGCCCCGAAGGGGCCGGGGACCTGGACTAGCAGGCTGCCCCTTGGTGGCTGGCCTTTAACCCTGCGCGAATCAAGGCAGGAGGCTGGGGCGCTCGGAGGAGGGTGGAGAGAGCCCGGGAGGTCAGGATGGTCCTTGCAGAATGCACGGCAGAGGTTCTAGCTCTGTAACCTTGGACAAATCACGTAGCTTCGCTGTGCCTCAGTTTCCCTGATGGTTAAGTGAGGGATTGAGAACCTACGAAATAATGTATTCATCCGTGCATTGTTCCGCACCCCTGCTCCTTGCCCCTCTTCAACACACACTATCCCAGGGTCTCTTTTAGATCCTTTGATTTCAGAGGGACAGGAGCGAAGGGGCTGGTCGCCTTCCTCCTCTTTCTCCATTGCGAATGCTGTTTAGTTGACTAACATTAATTCAGAGGAGTTGAATTCCTTCTCAATACTTTTATTCTCACAACTGTTTTTCAATTAAAAACTTTGTTGCTAGGGGAAAGGTTTTTTGTTTGTTTGTTTGTTTGTTTTACTTAGGCAAATACTAACACCCTTGTTTTGTCAAAAGTGTGACCAGGTGCCCACAGAGCCTTTGAGAGGAATTGTAAGATTTCTATTTTTAGGAAATTCTTAGTCTTTTTGTCCTAAATCTCTAACAAAACCCAGATAGAGCCAAGTAAATAATTTACTCAAAAAAAAAAAAAAAAAAGGCAAACCTTTATAGAGGATCCACAAAACAGAAAAGTTTGAGAGCATTTAGCTGGAACTTCTCTTGAATAGGAATTCTATTGTACTTATCTGTGTACCTGGCACCAAGCTACTGATCTGTATACAGTGAGTGTTCCAGCGAGTAAGTAACATATATCTATCTACCCATCGTCTAAGTCAGTGTCGTAAATGCATGGGTGGACACACTTGCATACGCACACATGTCAAAGTTTGTACATTTTTGTAGAACAAAAAGCTAGTTCACTCAGGAAAACTCTTACTAAATGGTTTAACAGAAGCAAAATTTTCCAGTTTTATAGGTTTAGTAATGTTAGCATTTTAGGAATCTAGACCATTTTTCCCCCTTACAGGTTAAAAATCAAGAAATATAAACCAGATGCAGCAGTTTTTCGACATGGAGAACCAAGCCCATACTACAGTGGGGTAAGTGATAAAAATTTCTCTTTAATAAGTTGGTGCTTAACTGTGCTCAAAACTCACTGATGATGCATGAATTTTGAAATTTAGTATTAATAGAAGGATATGCCGATTATTCCTGGTGAGGAGAGTGGGGGGAATTCCAAGCGACTTTAAGAATCTATAGTTTAAGGCTCTGATTTTGACTCTAGATCTACAATTGAAAAATCACCATTTTTCAACTTTCAGTGAGTTTTAGTGTTTTAGGGTGAAGGCTGCACACACAGGCCCTATGTGCTCTTGGGTTTCCACAGTGTCGCAGCTCCTGACCAGCTTGCTCCTTTTTCTTTTCTCTTCCCTTTTCTCTCCCTTTTTTTTCCCTTTTCTTTTCATCCTCACCCAAGGATATGTTTGCTCATTGATTTGAGAAAGAGAGAGAAATATTTATCAGGTACCTACCACACGCACCCCAACTGGGGATCGAACCCACAACCTACGTATGTGCCCTGAGCTAAAATAGAACATGTGACCTTTTAGGTGTACCAGATGGTGCTCCATCCAGCCAGGACCAGCTAGCTCCTTTCTTGCTGTACCAAGTGTCTGAGTATCTCCACACTGGTCCTTAAGGCTGAACACAACACAGACATAGCTTCAGAACTGATTTAGCTTCTCAAAACAGCAACGAAAACTGGAAATTTTACCAAAAGTTTCATGAAGAGATAAGAAATATAATTTATATAGTATTTGCCATCCTAAAAAATTAAATCCTTTTCACAAATATCTGTCCCCTCCCCCCTTCCCTGTCACCTGCACCACAAAGGTTTCCTTTCCTATTGCTTCATTAGCTGACTGGCCCCTGGCTGACCCCAGAGATAAATGAGGGAGGGAGGGGCAGTACCACAAGGAGGAGAGGTGCCTATTTTGACTGTGACTGATTTTGTACTAGTCAGACCACTTCAGGTATTTCACTTTCCGTTTTTCCACTCAGACCATGACTTTGACATCAGGCCATCAGAAAGCTGCACAAGTCTGGATAACTCTAGCTGTCACTTTTTTAAGTCCTACTGCATACTCCCCTGTCCTACTAGGCATTATTGTCATTTCATAACTAAGAACTTGGACATACTACTTAGAATATAGTCTAAGCTCTTGTTACCAAAAAAATCCCAAAATGCAGTGGTTTAAATAAGATTGAAGTGCATCTCTGTGTCATGTACAAGTCCAGATATAAGCAGACCAAGAGCAGCCCTGCCACCCTCACTACAGGATTTCTCTCTCTGGGCCCAAAGTGACTGCTTCAGCTCCCATCATCATGGGCCGTTCTCCTGCTGCAGGAAAGGGGGGAAGGGCAAGAGGAGAGAGTAGGACCATTCCTTTTAGAAGTATGACCTTGAAGTGGCAGGCCTGACTTTGGTTCACTTCCCATTAGCCAGAACTGAGTTGTGGGGGAAACTTTGCTCACAAGTCCCCCTGTCTGCCACGGATGAAAATAAAACTGCCAAGACATGATCTTCATGAGGAAGAGAGGTGGTCAGTCTCTCAAAGAAGAAAGACCAAGAGTCCCTTCCTCAACGGCTTTTATTAGGATCATAACACACAGGAATACAGGTAAGCTGATCAATCAATGTCAGTCAGCAAGGATCAAACAGTAGATAACATTTCAAAGAAATCTGAGGGCTTAATCTGAGTTAGTGTCTGTCAGGTAAGGGGGTTGCAAAAACTTTGGGAGACATACTCATTTCCTGCTTGGACCCTTATCATATGAATGAAAGCACTCTTAGCAAAGCAGGCTTCACAGGACTTTATGAATTTTTTCTTATACCTAATTGCCCCAGAACCTGCTCTAGCCAAGGGGCTGCACCACCTTCCCCATCATAGGTTTTTAGGCTTAAGTGTATTAGAGCCAGAAAATGATTGTCAGAATAGCTGGAGGGCAAGGGTCCATCACCATCTCTTTGCTGCAGCCCCCTGAGTCCTTTCTTGAGGGCCTCCCAAGTGATCATGTTTAGCTTAGGTTGCCCCTCCTCTGAGGGGTCGTACCCATCATTGACTAACCAACCAAGTGTTGGAGGCAAGAGACGGATGAAGCAAAATCAGCACTCCTGCCAGGGAGATAAGCTTTGTCTCCTTAGTGGCTCGAAATCCGAAGGTTGCTCACTCAGCCCTATCCATCGGGGGTTGGTTATAACTCCTGAAACCAGGCAGAGCGGTTTGCAACACTGAGTCCCAGAGCTATGGTCACTGTAAGGAAGGCCGTTAAATCTGGTCTCTAACTAGGCAGCTATATGGCCAGGTAAAGCTTAGAAGCTTATAATAAAAGGAAGAAGAATGGATATTGGTGGACAATTAGCAGCCTCTGCTACATTGAGCTCAGATGGGTAGGAAAAAAGAGAATAAAGCAGGAACTTGCACTTAATATACAGCTGGTTAGTGGAGAAGGTAGGATTCAGATATGTCTGGCTCCAATCCCGGCATTCCTTGCAACACTAGAGATGGATGGCAGTGAGATGTGGGAGCAGCCTGCCTAGTATCTTGATAGGATTTTAGATTGAGCAGGCGTTAGGTCCTTGGCACAGGCACAGAAAACTAAGATGCAGGTTGGCGGTCTCGAACCTAATGTTGGGTACCAGATATTACCTCCCTGCTCTTCCTTTTCATTCATTCTTTTGGGAAAAAAAAGTATGGAGTACTGAATGTATGCCAGGCACAACACTAACCACTATGGATCATGCAAAGATCATTAAGAAACAGACCTTAAAGAACTTAGAGTTTGGTAGGAAACCATAGAGTCTGTTTGGGTTCAACATAACTACAAATCAGAAGTGAATGAGAATTACTGGAAGTTTCCATGAGGAAGTGCTCCACTCTCACAGCAGACATGGGACCAGACATTGTCCACCATGCTCTCTCTCCAAAGCATAGAGCCAGGTCAGCTTTGCCTCAATCTCACATTCTATTGAGAAATATGTAAAAATCTAGATCATGAAGACAGTCTAACATCATTCACCAGGGATATGTTATGTGCTTATCAAACCATGCCACCGACATACACAATAATGTTTTGTGGAGCAACTTTTGTTTAACAAACATTTACCTAAAGTCTGCCATGACCCTGTCATTGGCGAAAGCACCAGGAAGATAGCAGTGAACAAAACAGAGACCACTGTTCCCAGGGGCTGACAGTCAATGGGAGAGACAGTGGTAGAAATAGACATGTTTCATACAGTGATACGAACAAAATTAAGTAAGTTAAGGAGGAGAGGAATAGAGTGTGAATGGGATAATCAAACTAGGATTCCTGGTAAGGTGCCATTTGAGCAGAGATTACATCTGGGCAAAGAGAGTTCCAGACAGCAGGTGCAGAAAGTGCGAAGGCCGAAGCTGCTAGCTTTTATACAGGACATTTATAATGCAGGTGAATCATTATTCTCTGACACCTGGGCTACAAACAGGGTTTGATTTGAATTTATCCATGATTTCTCCCAACTGTAGGTGTTTGTATTTGTGCCATAATAATCAATCTAAACTCCTTCTAATACAAACTAAGTATCACCTGGTCATATTTAAGTGGGTTGGTCCTTTTTATTTGTTTTTAGTGTGTATGCCCAGAACATAACTAATTCTAGCATGAATAAAGGATCTATTTTACTGGCATTTAAAAAAGATCCATTTCCACACTTTCATATATTTTTAAAAGCTTCCCAAAATTTAAAACTTTGTAAAATTTAAATTAGAAATGGAGTCTTGACCTGGGAATAGCTGAGGTTTTTCAAGAAGGGCCCTGGAACACCTCAAAAGATTTGGTTTCTCTCCTCACAAATGACAAAGATCAAACTAATCAGGCTAATTTTGTGTGTTGAAATTAAATGGCGAGCATTGTCAAATAAAAAATAACATTGATCATGCTTCATGTTTTATAGTATGTATTGTCAGTGTTCCAGAAATGTATGTGAAATTGCTGGAAATATGTCTGTCATCAAAGTTGCATGACACACTAAAACCTGAGTATCAGAGTGTGGCCCATGTGGATGAAATCCATCCTGTTTTTGCAAAAATACCCCTCGTTGCCACACTTTTGTCAACCTGAAGTTCTTATAACATGCAATAGTCTGCTCCTAATGAGAGAACTAGATGGGTAAACATGACTGTAAATTGAATAGCTGGTGGTATGGAAAACCCAAGCAGGCTGTTTGGTTAACCCAACTCCATCCACCATACTACATTTAAGCAGAACTTCAATCAACTCCCATTTGGTTTGGGTTATCAATATGTTCTTATTTTTGTGCATATGTTCTCTGGGTAAGTTGAAGCTTTCCCCTGCCACAAGACTGATGCCCTCACAATGGCATAGACTCAGAAATGTGTTTCCCACATGGCGTACACCTTCCACAATCTCTAGTGATTGGGGCACCCACTTTACTGAGCAAATCATACATACTTTAGAGTTCTTGGCATGTGGGGGCTTAGGCAAGAGAGTCACTTTAGGTCACTTGTTAGCTGGATGAGGAAGTGTTTGTGCAGTGGCCAGCTATTCATGGTTTAGGTCCTGGAAACACAGTAATGAAAGATACTCTTTATTTCTTTATTTTTTTTGTCTTAGACACCGAAAATGCCCTCTCTAGGGTGCAGGGACCATTGTGGAAGAGGTAGGCATGTGAGATAGTACAAGCCAGATGAGAGGGGCACAACGAGCAGGCAGATCTGACTCCATCTTACAGCTAACCCTCCCTCTCAATTGAACCTGGACCCAGTTGCCCTGTTTTCCTCAAGAGTGAGGAATGAACAACAAAAAAGGGGGAATTGTGAAACGCTCCACCTTTCTGACTGCATGCATTTGTTCAATAGCTTCTGCTCAGTCTTGCATATAGTCATGCTAATCATTAGAGAAATTCTGCTTTTGGCTTGAGTTTTACAAAACAATCCATACTTCCCTGGGAGATAAGAGAAGTACACATTGTTTAACAAAAGTTTGCAGGAATCTCATAACTAGACTCACGCTATCTAGAGTCAACAGGCTAAGCACAGCC